AATTTATTTTGTGAGAGTTCAGAGGATCTATTTTTGAGACAATAAAAAAGGAGGTTCTTATTTATATATCCCAGATTCAACTTATGTCAAATCTGAGATTCATCAACGCCAGGTAGGGGACAGAACGTAACAGACTAGAAATAGAATTTAGATCAAGAAGGTATTAAACAGATCGTATTCCTAACATAGTTTGTTAGATCAGTAGGGTGACTTTAGTTAACAATAATCTACTGTACATTTCAAAATAGCTAGGAGATGATAATTCAAATGTTTCTAGCATGAAGAAAGATAAATGTTTAAGGTGATGGATATACCAGTTACCCTGATTTGATCTTTATACATTATATGAATATGTCAAATTATCACATGTGAACAGAAAATATGTACATCTATTATGTATCAAAAAAAAGCCTAGTAAAGAGTCAGAATTTGACTCTTGGTGCTCTCATCAAAGAGGAAAGTTAAGAATAAGCAAGGTTGGGGCTTGACACTCTAGCTCTCTCCTTCTTCCATGACTGTAGATGTCCCTGAAGCTCCAAGTAGGAAGTAAAAAACCTGAGGCACTTATCTGTCCCTTTCCAGGGATTCCTCCTTTTGTTTTTGTTCTTCCAGATTTCAATTTACTTTACTGTCTTGAGACATTCAGGTGCTGTCTTTGTATCTTCATATCTCTCCTAAAAGAATTTTTCTCCTCTGTCTTTCCCTAGCATCAGCATCCTTTATCCCTTAAAGTTACCTGAACAGGATCCACAGAGCTTGGGCTGTAATAGGAGCAATGTTGAGATATTGGGAAATAGGACAGGTACAGAGATGAACCCTTGAAGAAATCAGCCAACAAGAGTACTACCACTGCTTATTAATCTTATTGCATATAATTACTTTAAAACAGTTTTGTTTTGCTTGGAAGAAAATGGACTCTCTATGTTATTACATTCCTATCCTCATAATGGATAAATGTACAGTACTTTTTTCTTCTTGGAGAACGTTGTCTCTCATTCTTTCGCCATGAAGGGACTCCATCCCTCTTCCCTCCCACCTCTTCTTCTCTTTCATCTTCTTCTATACATCCATGTCGATAACTGTGTGTGGCTATGTCTTGAATGAGTGATAGGATCCTAACAGCATACGGTTTGAGCAACAACCACTGAAACAGAGCATAGAGGAAGAAATAGAGAAAAAAAGAACAGATACTGGAAAATGTAAGTTTTCTTTCTCTTTTAAGTTTTTGCTCCATGTATGATCTTTAAAGAAAGCACCAAGAGAGATGTCCTTAAAATGGAGTTTTGATTTTTTATTAAAGCTAAGTAACTATTCTAGCATCCCACAATAGTGGCTGTCTTTGTAATTGGTACACTTTTTGAATTTGATATAATTTGTGTCTTTTTCTTCTAGGAAAGCTAGAAGGAATCAAACCATAAAGAATCAAACCAAAATAATAACTTATTGTTAGCTTTTCCCCTTAAAGTATAGATGATGAAATGGTCATTTTATACTTTTTTCATCTACTTGCTTATTTATCATGTTAAATTTTTATCTCATTATAAAAATGCTATATATGTGTTCTAGAAAATGTAGGCCATATAAAGTGAAATGGATAAATAGAATCCTGAATTTAAAAAAACCCTCTATAAATTCTCTATCCAGAAATTACCCTTCAGGTTTTTGGTATATTTTCTTGTGGTCATTTTAATGCATATCTGGTAAACTATGACCATACTGTACATATTACATATTTTAAACATAAAATGTGTAACAAAAATTACACATTTTAAGCATAATCTTACACTGTAGGTAATATTATCATATTATCACACTCTTAGGTGTAACCTAAAACATTATTCTTAATGGCTACATAGTTTAAGTTTTATGAATGTACTGAAATTTATTTAACTTGTCCTATATCATTGGACAACCAAGTTTTACGCTACTTTGAATCATCCTGTGATGAATATTTTTGTGCACAAAGATCATATGATTATTTCTGATTGTTTCCTTGGTAAAATTCCCTCAAAATTAATTTCTTGGTCAAAGATTGTATTGTCCAGGGTCTTTATCCATGTAGTCAATTGCTTTCCTGAAAGATTTCATTAAGTTGTACTTCACCTCTATAGGTTCGTTAATATCCACATTTTCTACAGTATGGGAGCTATGATTTATTTAAAAAACCCAAATAATTGACAGGTGAAATGGTATCATGTTTATTAATTTATATTCCATTAATTATGAGTGAGGTATACTATTTTTCCAAATGTTTATTAATCCATCCGTATTCCTTTTTGCTCTGAGACACTGAATTCCTCGTAAGGAGCAGTTTTCCTCTTACATTAGGTTTAATGTCATTACCATTTAAGGGATCAGGGTAAGGTTTATTCAGAACTGTAGAATTTGTTATGTGAGAAACGATACATCATAGCTGATATTAAATTTTTACAGATGAGATCTATTAGTTAAAGTTGACCTGAAAATGTATGTTTGAGGAGATTTAGGAAAAACAAAGTCCAACTAAATGAATTTGGATGTGCTCCAGGACAATGTGACAAATGCAAAAAAAAAAAAAAAATGAAAACCTAATGACTTGAATATTTTTATGATGAAAGACAATGTGAATGTGTAACCTGCTATTTAACAAAGAGAGCTCAAAAGGGAATCAATTTTTAGTGTTTTCATTGCAATTCAGGGGAAATGTTCCTTACTAGAAGACTTGAGTATCCCATCTGTTCTGTGATTAAATTCCTATAGTGAAGATAGACATCTTAGGAAACCAGAGCCATCCCTAACTCTTTGGCTTTTGGGTAAGGTATCAGATTTATCATATAATACATTTTTGTTCCTCTATATCTCTAGAGAACTCAGCAAAATAGTAATAAAAGAAAACCACATAATAATAAATGGGAAGAAAGGAGAATCATTAGCAGATGTGATATTTTAGTGGATTTTTAAGAGCTAGACAGAAAGTAGCAATATGATAAAAATCCCTTAGAATACCCAGGACGGGATTATAATGGATGGAAGATGGAAGTTACAATGTTTGTAACTTAATCACAGTGATGACATCCTATCATCTTGTCATATCCCATTGTTTAATGCTGTCAGGGGGTAGGAATCACTGGAGGCTAACAGTCTTCCTGCTATATAAGCAAAAGACAGAATGCCTAATGATAGAGATGGTAAAAAATGTGTATGTGCATGTATTAATGTATGTATGTATGTATTCATATGTAAACACATATGTCTGTATACCCACATGCATACATATGAGAAAAATGCATAACAAATTAGAAATATATAAAGATAGTATTATTTAGAAGAACTGATGAAGTATTAAAACAGAATAGTAATTTTATTTTAATTTTTTTCCAAATGAAAGTAAGAAACTTTAATCTAATGCCAGATATAAAATATGGACTCAAAAGAAACAGAAAACTTGGGGTTGAAAATGTAGCGGATACTATTAGATAAATAAATGTTTTATTCATGAAAATATTCACGATAAGTCACCCTTTGTTCTCTTTTTGAACATTTTGAGTGCTAGGAAACTATCAACTACCAAAGTAGCTCATTCTAAGTTTTTACAGGTCTAATTATTTTTTTAAAAAACTTTTTTTTTTTTTTGAGATAGACTCTCACTCTGTTGCCTGGGCTAGAGTGCCATGGTGTCAGCCTAGCTCACAGCAACTTCAAACTCCTGGGCTCAGGTGATCCTCCTGCCTCAGTCTCCTAGTAGCTGGGACTACAGGCATGTGCCACCATACCAGCTAATTTTTTTTCTATATATTTTTAGTCGGCCAGTTAATTTCTTTCCATTTTAGTAGAGACAGGGTCTCAGGCTGGTCTCGAACTCCTGACCTTGAGCGATCTGCCTGCCTCAGCCTCGCATACAGATCTAATTATTAACAAGTTATTCTTGATTCCAATATGAAGTTAAGCACCTCATCTTTAAAAAATTGATCCTAGGTCTGTTTCCTGCAGCTGAGATATATTTAACTTCTATATGACATTCCTCAATTAATTGAAGATGACTAAAAAGAAAGAGGTAGGCCTCTTTCCAAGCAAAATATCTCTACTTCCTTCAAACACAGAATACTAATTTTATAATAATTTTAGGAATTTTTTTTCTTTCTTTTTTTTTTATTTCAGCATATTATGGGGGTATAGATTTCAAGGTTTCAATAAATGCCCTTCCCCCCCTCCCCCCACAAGTCTGAGTCTCCAGCATGACCATCCCTTAGATGGTGCGCATATCACTCGTTATGTAATGGGTGTAACACTGGCCTCATCAAAGATTAAATACAACCATAGCACATCTTTGGTTTGCAGTAGATAATATTTACATAATTATAATAATATAAATGTTCTTTATGGATTTTAAAATTTTACTTGGAACACAACTATGATTACAACTTAGAATTTACATGTCTTCATTCTTGACATTATACAAGTCAAGGTACAGCTTTCTGAAATTTGGGTTGGTGAGAGGAGAAGTGGAGGCTAAATTTGGGGGAATGAGAAATATAGATTTAAGTAAACCATTTAAAGGAGAAAAGCAAGAACTAAAGAACTTGCTTTTGAAGAACTAAAATAATCATCAAAATTTGGGGAAAGGAGGAGAAAGGAGTAAGGATAATGTAATCAAGACAAAACTTCATCTTTCAGAATAGAGAGACAAAAGGTATCTTAAATTGAGAAAACATGAACATGATGCATAGGCAAGTGGCATGTTATTTAGAGGCAGAGAGGCATGAACTACCAGAATAGTTAAAACTAAACATGGTGGTAGGCAAGCATAGCGTAAGGGAACTCGCTTCTTGTTATACATTCTCCTGTAAATACACTATACTATTTTGACATTATTTTTCTCATACTTATGTAGAAATATAGCATTACATCAAATATCTTTATTTGTATAGCAGCCTCAAAAGTTAGCTCTTTGGTGTACCCTGTCGATCTGCCTATAAGGGAAAACCTGAGCTGAAAAGACATGAAAATCTCACCCACCGACAGATTCTTTATTCATTAAAAATAATCAATAGAATCAATGATTATAATAATCATTTCTACTTTCATCCCAGGTAAGTTTAGTGAGTTAGTGGAATATGAACACCCCTACCAAAGAACAAAATTGAGCTTCTCCATATACAAAGTTCACACCAGATCTTCACTCCAGTGGCACATCTAAGATGCAGGGACTCTGAGGTCTGAGTGAGCTTGACATCTTTCTCTTCCCTTTCCAACTGTGATCTTTCTTCTTTGCAGGTGATGTCTTATGGCCACTAGAAACTGGACAGAAGTGACTGAATTTGTCTTGCTGGGCTTGTCTAGCTGGCCCGAGATGCAGCCAGTTATTTTTGGTCTTGTCCTTGCCATGTACCTGGTTGCAGTTATGGGCAATGCCCTATTAGTAATTGTTGCCCGCTCAGACCCCAAGCTTCAGACCCCCATGTATTTCCTGCTCAGCCAGCTTTCTTTTATTGACATATTTCTGACAACCATCACTGTTCCTCAGATGCTGGTGCACACACTGTCTGTGCATCGAACCATCTCATATAACTGCTGCATGATCCAGCTGTTCTTCTTCATGGCTGTGGGCAGCATGGAAGGCCACTTGCTAGCTGCCATGGCATATGACCGCTACGTTGCCATCTGTGACCCCTTAAGATACTCCACCATTGTCAGCCATCGCCTCTGTCTGTGCATAACGTTGACCTCGTGGGTGGTTGTCAGCCTCAACAGCCTCCTTTATAGTGTGTTGGTCTCCCGCTTAACCTTCTGTGGCAACCGGGTTACCCACTTCTTCTGTGACATCACTCCCCTGCTGCAGCTCTCCTGCACCCGGCCAGTGGTCAATGAAATGTTAATATTCACTGAGGGTGTAGCTGTGGTGGTCAGCCCCTTCTTCTTCATTTTGGGTTCCTATGCCCGCATTGGTGTTGCTATAGCCCGCATGCACTCAGTGGCTGCCCTGCGCAAAGCTCTGTCTACCTGCAGCTCCCACATCCTGGTTGTGCTCCTTCTGTATGGCTCTGTGATCCACATGTACCTCCGACCATCCTCCAGCTACGACTTGGACCAGGATCGTCAGGTCGCCATCTTCTACACGGTCGTGACCCCTATGCTAAATCCACTGATCTACAGCCTCAGGAACCAGGAGGTTAAAGGAGCTCTTCGAAGGCTTTTTAAGAAACTCTGCATCTCAGGAAACTTCCAACCTGGCTCCCAGGCAGACAGGGAATGGCAGCACATCTCCTGAGCTCAAAGAGTTAAGACCTAAATAGATGGAGTATAGCTTTACTAACTGATATGAATCACATTCCTGTGGAATAATCTTCCCTGTTGGCTCCTTCTTGGTTGGATTTGGGAAAAAGTGAGTTCATGAATAAATAGTTCTGATGTCTGTTGACGGACCTAGAATCTCATTGTATTGAAACTGAAAAGATATTTTTAAACCAGCAAGTCTGAACTTCTCCTCTATCTGGTCTAATAAGGGGCATAGAGGACTATTAAGCAAAATGATAACAAAATCAGTATGGCTTGCATAACTTTGATCATTTCAGTAATGGTGTAGCATGTGCTGTCTTCCAGAGAGAAATCAAAGTGAGTTACAGTGCAATTATACGGAAGAGAGAGTTTTGAATAAACCATCAAATAGCCTAAGCCTCTCTTAAAATTGTAATATTTTTAGTCTCTCTCATTTCAACAACCTCTCAACTCACAGTAATCATAATCAGCTCAATATGTGTAGTGACAAAATTATTCTATCTGTACCATTTTGCTATCCCAAAAAAGATAGTGTAGGTCACTAATAATAGGGATTGGAGGAGAATCTACACAGTGGTCTAACACCAAGAGCAGTTGGTCAGATTTGGGTTGTATGGGGAGAACTGTTTAGAAGTACTGATGGTTTAGATGTAATGTGTAAGGAAAAAAGAGTAATCAAGAATGGATGGTGAAAATATGTTGAATCATCATGCCACTTATATGTGGAAATCTGTTGATGGTAAATAGCACAAAGATTTGATTAGGGGGCAAAATCAACAACTCTTTTTTCCCATGTTAATTTTCTGATATGCATTAGGTATCCAAATGGAGATGTTTTAGAGACAGTTGAATACGTAATCCTTAGGCTCGTGGAGAGGTCCTACCAAGAGATATTTAATAGAAATGTCAGAGGCAATAAAATGCACATAATCCTTGAAGCTGTGGAACTGGATAAAGTCACCTAGTAAGAAAGTGTAGAAAAGAGAAGAGAACTATAGGCAGAGCCCTGAGATGAGTAAGCACTCCAACATTTAGAGCTCTGGGAGAGGAGATAGCAAAGAAAATTGATAAGTGTACATTGGTAGGAAGGGAACAGCTAAGTTTTACATGTCAGGATCCTAAAAAAGGCTGTTTCCAGGATGGAAGAGTGGTCATTCTCTCAAATGTAGTAGTTGAGAGGTCATTAATGAGAACAGATTATTATTAAATTTGGCAAAATGTAGATTTGTTGGAAGCTTTGATAAGAGCAGTTAAAGAGAAAAATTTCAATTATCATCATTTTATGATGACATCGCATGAGAGGAAGTGGAGGTTGTGATTATATAGACACTTTTTAAGTATAGTTTTTTTCTGAGGAGATAGAAAAAAGTTTTGTATAACTTGAGGACATGAAATCAAGAGAAAGTTTCTTACAATTTTTGGAAAGAGTAGTGACATTAAGCATGTTTATTTGCTTATAGGATTGATCCAATAAAAATGAAACATTAATTATTCAAGAGAGAAAGTAATTAATGGCAAGAACAAAGTCCTTGCAAGAGGATGCACATCTACTGGGGGATGATTTTATCTAGGAGCTGAGCCACCTCTTCCCCTGTAACAAAAAGGAAGTCAGAATATATGCATTTGAATGTAGGTGAGCTGGTGGATTTGGTTGGGAAGAAGACATGAGCTTGAAGAAACTTCAACTGAAAGTGATGGGAGCAGAGTTGTTTTAGAGAACTGTAGGAAGAGAATATGTGAAATAATCATTCTGGAGTTGGGAAAAGTAAAGTACTAGGGAATATTGTAGGATTATCTGCCAGTATTGAGTATCCATTTGCACATTTTGTTCACAAGTTTAATAGTAGTCAAATCAGCATAGTTGGGTGGTCTTATCCAACAATATTGAGGTACTCATGTACAGACATAAATGAAAAAAATACCGGATTTACCCAGGGCTGAAATTTTCCAGCTAGTACAAAAGGGAGCAAAAGAATAAGGGTTTTTACAAGAAGGTATTTATGGTTGTTAGGGTGGGAAGAAAGCATAAATTAGGTTATAGATAATGGAAAACACTTTGAAGGAATAATAGATCTCAGTCATGTCAGGGAATTGGTAGAGTTTGAGAACTAAATTAAGTAAGCTGAAAAAATTAGAAGTTGATAGGAATTGTGATGTTTAAAATCAAGATCTCACAGATGATGCAATTATTGGTGATGGCAATGTCTAAGATGGGACCATATGAGTGGATGGCTGAGATAGGGTAATAATGTAAAATATTGTTGAAGCTCCAGAGGTCCCAAACTGAGAATTCAAGGTGTTAGTTAGATCATTTATGTAGATGTTTCCAAAAATGATAAATAGTGGTGGACAGAGATAACCAGATGCCAAGGTCATCAATGAATGAGAGAGAACCACTAGAGAATTGATAGAGTATAGCAACAAGAATAGAAAAGTCTGTTTGAAAGAACTTCAAAGAAATTTTGAAATTTTGGAGATGTGAGGTGCAAGGATCTCATATGTGATGGAAACCAGGAACTGAATAGCCATAGGAACTAAAATAGATACTCTGTCCATCACTCTGGAAATACTTTGTTCTTGATGTTATGTCTCTTTGTAAAGCAGATTCATGTTTCTTTCTGCAGCCCAGCCTTTTCTCTACCTCCTTGTGCTTGGCTGCCCCAGAGAGAGAATGTGAACCATATTCACCATGGTCTAACCAAATATGTCTAGGGAATGGGAATGCATAATTTAAACACAGCTCCCTGGGCCAACAATTTTGTGTGCAAGTGTGTGATGCTTAAAGTATTGATAAAAGGAAATACTGGCTGGGTCGACACTACCAAAAAATGTTTTGTTTGTTTGGTTGTTGTTGCTGTTTGGGGGTGGGGGTGGGGGTTACTATACTGACCCTTTCCAGATCTCTAGGTCTTCTAGGATGCCCTGTACATTTGACTTGTAAGGACACAAATCTTCTGGTTTTATGAGAGGACCAAGTGAGTTCTTGATGTGGAATACTTTCTCTTCTAATTTCCGTCATGAGCTCCCAGATCTGAGTGAAAAGGAGAAACTTTTTTAACACTTGTTGCTTCACTTTATATATCATAGAAATGTGATTTCCAGAGTGTAATATGATTTAGGCCATTCTAGAAGAAGCATTTTTATAGAGATAAAACCTCTAGTAGAGAAACTGAAAGGATTCTGTGTGTCATGTATGCTGGGGGCTGTAATCTTTCAGTGAACATTTTTTGTTAAATCTTAATAATTTTTATCATTTTCATATAAAATAGCATTTATTGAGCATTTCAGACTCTATTCTAAATGATTGCAATTATGTATCTTGTTTAATCCTAACAGCAATCAAATGAAATGTATGTCATTATCATTCCCATCTTAAAAATGAAACATAGGATTATAAAGATTCATGCAAATCATCCAAGAAGCCTGTTTAAGTTACTTGTTGCTACACAATGAACCGCTCCAAAATTTAGTTGTTCAGATAACAGTGATTTTATTGCTCACAGTTCTGTGGGGCAGTACTCTAGGCTGAGCTCAGCTCATCAGTTATTTGTACTGCATTCAGTAAACACACAAGTGCAGGTATCTTTTTGAAATAATGATTGCTTTTCCTCTGTGTAGATGCCCAGTAGTGAGATTGCAGGATCGAGTGGTAGATCTACTTTTAGTTCTTTGAGAAATCTCCATATTGATCTCCACAGAGGTTGTACTAATTTACATTCCCACCAACAGTGTATAAATATTCCCTTTTTACTGCATCCACACCAACATCTACTGTTTCCCCATGTCTAGGAGCTTCTCTTGGCTGTTAGCCAGGCCCCAGCTGGGCAAGTGACCAACATCAACCACGCTTCAGCACAAGGCCAGATGGGATATCAGCAATGTGAGTGAAAGGGGATAGGAAGTATGAGGGCAGATGAGACGCTGGATGAGGAAATAAGGTGGTTTTAATCTGGTTCTAAAGGAGAATAACCATAGTCCAATGCTCAGTGTTCAAGGATGGGATGACATGATGTCAAAGCCCCTGTGAAAATAACCAAAGCTCAAGCCAGAGTGCCAGATCCAGTGATTGTACATCAGATACCCAACGGCTAAGTTGAGACTTGGTGTGTTTGTGAGGCAAACAAGGACTGCACAAAGCAACATGAATCATGGAGCCTTGAGACAACCACAGTGTGCTGTGGTCATCAGGAAATGTATTTGCCTGGTGTTGTCAGTGTGGGTTTTGATCACCATTCTACCAGCTGTGGGATTTTCATTTCTTCTTTTTTTTCTATAGTTTTATTTTTTTTCTCAAATTCTGTGGGTACAAATATTGTTAGGGTTACATATTTTGCCCCTGCTCCCCCTCCCCACCCAGCTCTGCCAGAGCTTCAAGTGTGTCCAGTCTTCAAGTGGTGCGCCCTGCACCCACCATGAAAGTGCGTACCCTTCCCCTTCTCCCCCCTTCCACCTGTTCACCTCCCATTAACAAAATTTTTTTTTTAGACATTTTGGTTGCAGTGTGTTTCTTTGCCTCTCCCTAAAAATAGAGGTAATCCTTTCCCCCCTACAATGCTCATTATATCCTTAAGATGTGGGTCTCCCCCCCTCAGATCCCTGTTGAACACTACAATTATTTGAACACCATAGTTTTAGGCTGTCAGTACCAATTTGATGGCGAGTAGATGTGTAGCCCATTTTCCAGGTCTTGTGTCGTCTCGCTTTGTATTACAGGCTTAAGCTTAATCCAAGATAGCATAAACGGTGCTAGTTCACTATCGTTTCCTAGGATTGAATAATATTCCATTGTGAGTATATACCACATTTTAGTTATCCATTCATGAATTGACGGGCACTTGGGTAGTTCCAAGACCATGCAATAATGAATTGTGCTGCTATAAACATTCAGGTGCAGACGTCTTTATAATACAGTGTTTCATTCTAAATGGGGAAAAATTGAAATCATTCCCGCTTCGAACCGGAACTAGACAAGGATGCCCACTTTCTCCCCTCCTATTCAACATAGTGCTCGAAGTCTTAGCTATAGCAATCAGGCATGTGAGGGGTATTAAGGGCGTCCAAGTTGGGTCAGAAGAGATCAAACTCTCACTCTTTGCCGATGATATGATATTATATCTAGAAAACCCCATGGACTCATTCAAGAGACTCCTAGATCTGATAAATGAATTCGGTAAAGTTTCAGGGCATAAAATCAATATACACAAATCAGCAGCATTCATATATGCCAAAAACCATCAAGCAGAAACTCAAATCAAAAACGCAATACCCTTTACTATAGCTCCAAAGAAAATTAAATATCTAGAAGTATATCTAATGAGAGATACGAAAGATTTATATAAGGAGAACTATGAATCATTTATTTCTTAAATTTATATAACGCCTGTTTGTTAACAATGTATTATGTGCCAGAACTTGTGCAGAACATGGTTGGGATACATATTCTGAAAGAGCTTATAAAAGAGTAGAGGGAGACAGGCTGTAAACAAATGAGAGCAATGAAATGCAGGGAAAGATGCATAGGGTAAGTGGTGTGAACACAGAAAGGTACATCCAATCAACCAGTGCTGGGGAATTGGGATGGTGGTCAGAAGAGGCTTTATAACGAGGTTGTCCATATAACTTATCGTCTAACCCAGCACGCTTTGGGGAGACAAAGACTTAAGAAATATACCTTCTTATATCTATTTCAATGGTATCAATTTTGGCTATGTTTTCTATATAGGTTACAAGAAACCCGCCTAGCACATTACACAAAATTGCCACAATTTTAGCTCCTTCTCACCCCGGTGTCATAACTACTCTTGTTCTCTAAGAGAAACTTTGTACAGACAGATGGACTAATTCAGTCTGCATTTGCATCTTCTGCCCCACATCCAGGGAAACCCCTCTCACATCTTCCTCTCAACCCATGAGTCTGAAGAATCGACATTTAAATAATAGACATCTTGGCTCCTGAATCTGTTCCCCATGCCCAGCACTGATGGGTCAGCAGACAGACACCCAGTGTTAGATGACTTCCACGTACCAACTGTGGGAACTATCTGGAGCCTGCTGAGACAGAAGGAGTTTAAGGTATCCCTGAACAGTGCAGGTAAGGAAGGTTAAGAAGATGCAAATTGGAGAGCGTGCCAGTGCTTAATTCTGGAGACTCTTTAACTTCTGACCCCATATAGTAGACATTGTCATCATGTCCCCCTTCCCATATTGGAGTAGTCACCCCATTTCACGTGTCTTATATAAACTTATTGAAAATAAGGCACCAATACTGCTCTCTCCAGCAGCTAGAGTATAGGCAAGTGACCAATTCTTGGCCAATCAGATACACAACCTTATTTTGAATTTAGAGATAGTGGTGAAAAGAATAAGAAGTGGGCAGATCTTCCTGGGGATGGTAATGTCCAGGTTTTAGGCCTCCAAGGGTTATGCCCAGTGACTATTGCTGGCATTGCTGGTGAGGGTACAAGCTGCAAGGAACAGAGTTTGCTGGCTACAGACTAGTTCTGGGATATGATTACAATTGTGGTTCTGACTACATGATATTTCTTATTCGTGTACAATTTTTGAGCCTTGGAAATTCATGAGCTCCAGTTTTCTTTTCAATAAGCTCCAATCTTTCATGAATAAACCAGAATTGGCTTCTGTTGATTGGATCTAGGAACTCTAAGAGTTACAGCCCTAGTGTTTAATTGCAGGCACAGAGAACACCTTTAATTATGGTTGAAACAATGATAGTGTTTTACATAAGTTCATGGTGGTTCCTTTGGGTTTAAGAGTTATCTTAGGACAATATCTAATGAGAAAATCTATGATATGTACTTAATTTAGATATTTCTAGGACATCTTAAAGGGAGCAGATATGTGAGGCACAAAATTGTTTACCCAGAATCATAGGTAAAACTCTGAACTGTGTTTTGGAGTTTTATCTAAAGAAAGAAGTCCATATTCTGTTCGTCCATTTCCTGAAGGCTCCCTTGACATCCCCATTCCTCAGGCTGTAGATGAAGGGGTTCACCATGGGCGTCACCACTGTGTACATGACTGTCACAATGCGACCCTTGGTCACTGAATAGCTGGAAAGGGGCCGGAAGTAGACCCATGTGAGGGTGCCATAGAACATGGCCACCACAGTGATGTGGGAGCCACAGGTGGAAAAGGCTCTCCACTTGCCCTTGGCTGAGGGGATCTGGAGGACCGCGGAGATGATGCAGGCATAGGAGGCAATAATGAGGACCAGAGCTCCATTGATGACAACAACGCCTTCCGTGTGAATCATCAGGGTGTTGAGGTGGGTGCTGGTGCAGGAGATCTTCATCAGAGGGTAGAGGTCACAGAAGAAGTGAGGGATCCTGTTATCTGCACAGAAGATCAGCCGGCCCATGAGCAAGGTGTGCAGCAGGGCATGAAGGTGGGAGAGGGCATGGCACATGGCCACCATCTGCGCACACAGTACTCTGGTCAGGATCACAGGGTAGCGGAAAGGGTGGCAGATGGCGATGTACCTGTCATAGGCCATCGCAGCCAGGAGGAAGTTTTCCATGGCTGCAAAGCAAATGAAGAAATAAGTCTGGGCTAAGCAGCCAATGTAGGAGATGGTCTTAGTAGGGGAGAAGATATTCTGAAGCATCTTGGGCACAGTGGTGGAGGTGAAGCAGATGTCCGCTAAGGCCAAGTTACTGAGGAAGATGTACATGGGGGTGTGGAGGTGGGGAACAGAGATAATCAGTGCGATGATGGCAAAGTTGCCAGAAATGCTGACTGTATACATGAGTAGAAAAAGAAGGAAGAGTGGGATCTGCTCTTCTGAGTGGGTAGAAATGCCCAAGAGAACGAAATGGGACACACTGGTCCAGCTGGTATTGTCCATCTGTTGCCATAAGAACAAAAAGAATCATTTTTATAGACTTGGACATAGGAATAGGCTGTTTAGTTACTGTTGTGCTTCCAGATCAACTACATGTGATGCTGATAAAGGGATCAAGTGCTAACAATCTTCCAAAATAATATGGATTTTTCATCATCATTAACATCATTACTATCACCACAGCTAACATTTACAGAGCATTTACCTTGATCCTGGGGTGTTTCTGCATTATCACATTTAAATCCAATCAATAACGCCTGAGGCTATTACTATTATTTTTATTTCAGTTTTATACATTAGGAAACTGAGGCATGGAAAGTTTAAGCTCATAAAGGGCAAAATATGAATTTAAGTCATATTTATCTGGCTCTAATGGCTATACCATCAGCCACTATATAACAGAATTCCTTAAATTAAAACCAAGACATCTTGTTCATGGTAGTAAGGCTTGTTGATGAGCTGTATAACCAAGGAATCTGCCTGCTGAAAGGGATGTCAGAGGACATTTGATTCGGCAATTTTCACTTTGTGGGATGCATTCCCTTGCGGATGCCCAAAGAGTTCTCAAAGAGTCCACAGACATGGTTTTTACAGAATAAGTTTCTTAATTTCCATACTTTTTTTTCTAAACTCATTTTTTCTTTGAGATATCACCTTATGCATTATCCTGTCTCCCATGTAACAAATAGTAATAGAATTGATGCTGACTTTGACTTTTTCTAGTAATAAATAACACTCATTTCTGGATGCATGAACTAAAAAAACCCATTACTCTGTTAAGTGTCTTTAAGTAAAACTTTATTACTTAAGTATAATAATTATTTTCAAAATTTGTGATATATTACAATACAAAGTTACCATTTTTATAGTTCAAAATAGGTGAACATTAGCAACTTTATGTAATTGAAGCTATTTAATAATTACATAATTTTGGTCTGTTGTTTACTACTAATAATTGTAACAATAGTTCAGATTATTTTTAATGCTTAAAATTGTATGTTCATAAGAAATTAAAAATAAGTTTCATGGATTTTTTTTCATTGAGAAAAGATGGGTGGTTATAAAATATTTTCCAGCATAAAAATTTATTACAATAAGATAAAATTTGTATAGCAGAAAAAAATGGAAATGCATGTTTAAATTGAAGAGGAGTAACATTAAGCTTATAGCAATTAAGGGTGTCCTTATTCTTGCATTTTAAAAATGGAGGATATGAATATCAGGTCACGGCGGTGTTTAGTCATTGACTATATTTTAAGAAATAAGGTAAAGTTTTGTCTTAAAACTTTACTATATATTACATATTATATCCTTACAACTATTTATGCATCTGATGAATAATTTTATATACCCATTTTAAAAAAGTGCATAGGTTTTAATTTGAGCAAAAACTATAAAAACCATAGATTTAACCAAACCTGTCACTCAGTGTTCAATCTCCATTTGTAGGATCCTGGGGAAATGAACTTCTCTCCTCCCCTTGAATGCTGTCAGTGGCAGAAAGTTCTAATTGTCAGCATTTCTTCCTTTGTAGGAGAAGCTGAAATACGATTGCCTCTCATCACTGTCCACCGGTATAAGGTTGGTCCTCTGGGATCTCACAGAAAAAGCCTATTATGCCTCAACATGAAAACCCTTGAGAAATGTAAATAACCAGCAAAGGCAGCACTGTGGAGTGGTTACGAGCCCAGCCTTAGTTTTCTCATCTGTAAAATGGGGATGTTAATAGTATAGTACTCTTAAAGTTGTTATGAGGATTAAATGAGAGTATCTGCTCCCTGGCATGTATTCAGTAAAGGCTGCCAATTTTTTCAATCAATTTTTCAGCCTTGTTAAACATGGAGTCTCTGGGTTTTTCTGCATCTGGGTCTCTCTACTGTGAACCTGTTCCACTTTGTCTCTGTCCTCAAAAACGTGGTTCCTAGAACTAAGCAAGGTGCTATGTGTTGGGTCTTTCATTACAGGATAGTCACAATGAGTTTATCTGGACATAGATAATAATTGAATAGCCTTTTTGAGATGGGCATCAGAGTTGACACTCCACAAATAAGCTGTATTTATGGCTATTCAAAGAATTCGTAGATTTTGCGATTTGGTTGTTGGGAGAACAAGTGCAAACAATTAAGAAATACCCCTGTCTAAGGCACTTTTGCAGATACTTTCACATATACTTTTATGTACCTTTACACTTTTACTTATATCATCTCACATAATCCTATGGCAACCCCAGGACATGTCTAGTTATGTGTCCCTGCAACAATCACTAATTATCCTTACTCCACAGGTGGGAATTCCAAGGCTCAGGGAGGTCAAGTGATCTGCTCAGTATAACTCAGTGTTAGGTGGTGGCTGGACTCCACACTGATGTTTGGATACCTTGAGTGCTCATACATACCTGACTGCCCATTTCATTTATTTAGCTTCCCCACAGAATTGCATTTATTTATCACTCCCAGTCTGTCTGCTTTTATGGTTCAAGTTAAAAGATGCCACCATGGTACAGCTCAAAAGAACGAACACCAGGTTTTTCAGTTATAAAAATGTAGCAATTCATAATATGATATTGAATATCCTGAATTGATTTCAATAAGGCATGATGATGAATGAGGACTAAAAATGGTAGCTGCATTTCCTGAGCACTTACTATATACCAGGAATTATTCTAGGAGCTTTATGTGTGTTTTTCATGTGATCACAGCAATTCTGTGATATAAGTAGTATTACCTCCACTTTAAAGATGAGGAAATTGAAGCTCAGAGGAATTCTGTGGCATGTTCAAGGTCACAGAGTTCATACGTAGCAGAACTGAAACATGAATTTAGTTCTGACCTCAAAGTCCATGGCTCTCAACCGTGGGGCTATGCCACTTCTTAAGTTTTCTGTCATTATTCCAGTTTTTACTTTCCTTTTTGTTTCTTACTTTTTCCGGAATTATCCTGTGCATTGGCCAATGATAAGTACCTGTCATATTTTTTTCTAGTCAATCCTCATTATAACACTAGAGAGTGGATATTATTATTCCTATTTTCAGATCATAAAACTGAGGAATAGATAAATGGATTAACTTTCTCAAGGTCACAGAGTAGGGTTGGATCCAGGTTGATCACAAATCAGTCTAACTCAGAAGCAATGGCCTTCCTCTCCTACCTCATCCATTTAACACCTGGGCTCCCTTCTCTTTCTGTGCTCGTTTTCTCTTTTAAGCCTGTCATTGTAATTTTGCTCTTCAGATGAAAGTTCACAATTTAGCCTCCAGGGCTGGGCATCAGGTGGCCCTGAGATTATGGTTTATGAAACACAGAATGTCTCTTTTCACATCAAAGGAAGGCCTAAGAATGGACTGAGCTCTACTTGGCAATTAGCAGCCTGGGGCTGCTACCCGGGCCAATGTCTGGGTAACTCCTGTGATAACAAAGCTACACATGAGGCTGGAGAGAGTCCCAGAAGTGATTGGAGGGGAGCTTCCTGGAACCTTGGCGTCCTCCCGGTCTTCCTCATGGCTGGGAGAGACTATCCTGCCTGACCCACAGTGTAGCATATGGGCAGAGGAGGGGACCGTGGGCAGGAGGTGGGGAGCCAAAAATGGGGAACTACTAGAGGAGAATATTGCTTTATAAAAGGGTATGGATTTAAAAAAAAAAAAAACCAGCAGTGTGGTGTGCAGGAATGAGTTTTGACCCAGGAAATAGAAGATACGGGCTTTGGTTCCAGATCTGCCATGAAAATTTCCTGAGACCTTGGAAAAATCACTTCCCTTCTTGGCGGCCTCAGTTTCTTCTTCTGGGAAATGGGAAGAATAATAACTGCTTTCAATACATAAGCTTTATTTAAAAAAAACAGAAGAGACTATAGATGTGAAGGCCCTTTAAAAATCTTATGAAACAGTGAGAAGTTGTTTCTTTTAAATTCCTATAGGATTCTGGGTTCCCTATCACAGAATAGGTCCCCATAAACTGCTGACAATCTGATCCATAGATTGCCCTTTGTAAATAGAGGAGGCACTTGGATAACACAACTTAATCTATTCTCTGAGTTTTCCTGTTTTATCTTTAATTCCCAGAAGTGGGAAGAAAAATCTGGGTCCAGTTGTTAAGAGAAAACAAAAAGGACAGCCATCTCCAGAGGATGATTTCTGGGTCACCTAAGTCTGCTTACTCATCATACCTCCCCAACTGGTTGAAACTCTCCGGAGTCCTTTAGTTATTTTCTCTAACTCCTGGAAAATTTCCCTGAAAGGAATGACTCTTGACTATGTAAATCATTCGTACTTTTTTGTGGATAGGTTTCAATGAGGGAAAGTGAGAGAGCCCACAAAGATACAGTGTTATTCAGGATGGTGTAGGGAAGATACTCTATGAAGGGAGGAAAAAGGCAAAAGAAGAAGACTTACGGGGTCAAAGACAAACTTGACGGTATTCACCATGTGCAAAGAATTTTGAGAAAGATAGTCCTCCCTCCCAAAATTACTGAAAGCCTGTCTAGGAATTGTCCAAGGCTCAGAAACTGCCGTATGCTGGTGTGGAGCCCTCCAAGTGCCTTACCGTGGACCCTCGGCTGGACTGGAGTGGGCCAGGCCTGGTGCTCCCACCCGCTTTCAGGCAGCATGTGTCACCATGTCTTGTTTTGACAGCAGCACAGAGCAGACCTCTCAGGGAAGACAGAGGAGGTGGCCCAACACAGCAGAAAGGAGAGCATCAGGAAGCAGTTGAGGGTAGAGCACCAGATTCCCAGTGGTTGGTGCTTCTGCTTTTTGGGACAGGAGGACATGTCTGGGAAAGGTGCTGGAGGCTGAAGTTTTATCAGGCACTTCTGCTTGGATTCCACTGTTCTCACCAGCATGGAGTCCCAGGTGGGTCATTGTCCAACCTCACTGCCCTCTCTGGGGAGTGGGGCCCATGAGACGGTGGTTCTAACATCAGTATTGGTGAATATGGCTTGGCAGCTCAGCTGATCCCAGGAAAGCAACCAGGGAGGACCTGGGAGATCAGTGTGGATATAGGTTCATTACATGTGCTGCAAACTCTGGCTCTGAGAAGGAATCCCACAGAAACTTGAATATGGTCAAGATAGGGATGGGGTGTCTCCCTACCCTGAGTCCTTGGAGATGCAGCCTCTTGTTTTACTTTTTTTTTTTTAGTTATATATGCTTATTTTTTTTTATTTCAGCATATTATGGGGGTACAAACATTAAGGTTACGTACACACTTATTTTTTTTTAAATTATCAGTAAAACATATATCAAGTAAAAAATGAGAGTCTGTTTCTTACCACTTCCTTATTCCTTTCCAGAGGTAATCACTGTTGATATTTTGACATGTGCCCATTCAGACGCTTTCTATGCATGTGTGAGCACGGATATATACAATTTTGTTTTTATAGAAATGGGATTGTTTGTTCTGTAACTTTCTTTCATCGATATACACTGGACCTCCTATGGCACTCTCAGACTTTCTAACTCTTAGTCTGAGAGTTAGAATCACTCTCAGACTCTCATTATTCTAAGGTAGTTCAGAGAATATTAGATATACCACAAGTTATAAACATTTCCCTCCTCATGCCACTTACTCATCTCCCTTTTTTTCTGGCTATACAAAGACAATGCTATAATCAATAGTCTTTTACAGAAATTTTTGTCTACATATATTTCTCTAAAAATGGAAATGCTAGATGAAGGTGTATGTGCATTTTGCATTTCAATCGTTACCACCAGATTGTTCTCCAAAAAGCTTGTACCAATTTCCAGAAGCATGTAAGAACAACCTTTCCCAGTCTAACAGCATTGTTTGCAAATACTTTACTGTTTCCCAGTCTAAGGAGGGAAAAAAAGAAATAATACTTTATGATTGTTTTACTTCTTATTTTTCTGATCAATGGGGACAATTTTTTATAGTTTTCAGCATTTTAGGATTTTTTTCTTCTTTGAATTTTCTGACTGTATCCTTGCCCATTTTTTCTATGTGGTTGCTTTGTTTCTGTTATTGATTTGTAGGTGTTACCATGTGATTGAGGATATTTTTATGTTTTCCTTCTTGATCTAATTTAAATAAATTAAATAGCTGCTTAGGCAATTATTTATTGAAATATCATTGAGATAAGTTCACTGAAAAAGAGATGCTGGGAGTTTAGACAATGTAAATCGCAAAGATCCAACCTAACTTTCTTGAGGACATTAGTCCTTTCAGGCTGCTATAGCAAAATACCATAAACTGGGTAGCTTGTAAATAACAAAAAATTATTTCTTACAATCCAGGAGGCTGGGAAATCCAGGATCAAGGTGCTGGCAGAGTCAGAGTCTGTGTCTAGCGAGGGCTGCTTTCTGGTCCCTAGATGGCACCTTTTCTCTGTATCCTCACATGGTAGAAGGGGCAAGGTAGCTCTTTTATAAGGGCAGAGAGCCCATTCATAAGGGCTCTGTCTTCATTATCTAATCACCTCCCAAAGGCCTCACCTCCTAAGGCCATCACATTGGTTATGAGGTTTCAAAAGATGAATTTTTGGGGAGACATAAACGTTCAAACCATAGTAGTGAGGAAGTGGGGCTTCACCTGAGATCTAAGGAATGAGTGGGAGTTGGGGAGAAGACGAGGAGGAGGAAATATTTCAGGCAGAAGGAACCTAGGTTCCTGAGCCAGAGCAGTTTGGCATATTTGTCAAAACAGAGCAGCATGGTTAATAAGCACAAGAGAAAAAAGTAAATGCTATGAGGTGAGGCTAAAGAAGATGCAGTCTGGGTCATCCGGGGCCTTGTGAACCATGTAAACGTGGTGGCTCTTTATTCCAGTAGCAACCGGGAAAGCCTCTGAAAGGGTACAGCATAAAACACAAAGATCTGCATTTTTAAAAATTCTCTTGGTTTCCATGTGAAGAATAATTTGGAAGACTGAGGTAGGCACACAAAACTGATGGTAAAGAGACCAGCTGGGAGATTATTGTATCTGGGAAAGAGTTGATGATGATCAGGCCATCAAGAATGTGTGGATAGAGAGAAACGAGCAGATTCAAAGGAAGTTCTAGGGTAGATTTGATAATATGTCATGATAGAGTAGATGAAGGGAATGACAGAGACAAGAAAGTCAAAGATAAAACCTAGGTTCTGGGTTATCATCAGGGAAGAATAAAGGACTTTCACCTACTTGGGTCTCTACCTCTATTTATGAAGTCAAAGACCATGTTTACTTTCTCAACAGCAGTCAATGAACTTGAGTCTGTGAAAAATCTAGGGTTGACTCATGCTGCTCTCATGCTATCATTTTCCCCATCTCTCTTCCCAGTGCTGTTTGTATGAAGCCATTTTTGCAGGCCAGTATAGAATTTTACACATCTCCACATTACTTTACATTTTCTTGTAGAATTAGTCCATCATTCCAAACTTGAGAGTCTTATTTGAAACTTGATCCTTTCACCCACTATACTCAATTATTTTCTCAGTTTGGTATTATCTAAAAGTCTAATCAAAATTGTGCTTACCCTATTAAGATCCATTGATAAAAGTGTCAAACATGATAAAGAGTAAGTATTTGGTAATTAGAAATTATTAATACACGCTAAAAATAACACACAAACCTGATGTTAGTAATGAAATTTAAAACTTATTTTCAAATTTAAAAATTACTCAGATTTGGTCTTATGTAGTGTAAGCTTATATCAAAATATCACATGTGCCCTATAAATATGTTCAAATATTGTGTACCCATAAAATTTTTAAATGAATTTTTTTAATTTTTTAAATTAAAAAATTAAAACTTAAAAAAGTACTACCCTTAACTCTTTGTTATATAACCGTTTATAACCAACCAGAATAACATTCGTAGTTGTTTGAAAATCCACTCTTTCTGGGTTTCTTTCCTTCCCTGCCTCACTGTTCTATTCTGCTGCCAGTATTTTTATTATTCTCAAACCAAGTACTTGAACTTAATTTCCTTAATTTCTAGGTCTGCTTCAAGAGGTTCTGAAATTAAGACAATTGACACAAAAAGTGGTCTTCAGAAGCAGCTCTTTAGTTTGGAGTTCTGGACTGGTTCACTTGCTACCAGATGGTAAAATGGGTACCACAGCTTGTGGTAAGTGGCATGCTGTGGGGAAAAGAAGGAGATTGAGGTAGAACTAGGATGAATTGGCTGGTACCGTATCTCTAACATTTGAGAGATATGGGAGAAATGGTAATTATGAAAATTTGGGATTAAATGACTTGCTGAATGCCCATAGATACACTGAAAGAAGAAAGTGAACTCTTCAGATTGGCTGAGGGCATGTCTGAAAGCCACAAGTCTCCATGTTATTGTTTATAGAAACCTAGATCCAATGATGAGAGTTATGAAGAAATCTAGATGCACAGTCCTGGAAAGTTTCATAAGTTGAGATCAGGGCCTTGATAGAGAAAAACTGGTACCCTGGGCATACGATGAAAATACCCATATGTACTTAAGAAAATTAAATCCTTGATTCTTCTCAACTTTCTGGGCTAAGAGTAGAGATCAGCTTCCTTGCTAGAGATTAGCATTCTCCCCTTGCATGGGTACCAAATAAAGACCTCCCTTGGGGCCAACAACTAGTAAGACCACTGCCCACCTCCCATGATTCTAACAACTAGGGTCAGGCCTTAGCATGGTCTGGCTGAGGAAGCATTGTCACTGCCATGGGATAAAAGGACTAAAGGGCTTACTCATAATAAGAGTTTGGGATTGCTGGATCAAATGGTAGATTCACTTGTATCGCTTTAAGGTATCTCCATATCTACCCAAATGATCCAGTGACACTCTACAAAAAAGGCACCTGCACTCGAATGTTTATAGCAGCACAATTCATAATTGCAAGGCTGTGGAAACAGCCCAAGTGCCCATCAATCAAAGAATATTAATAAAATGTGGTATATGTATACCATGGAGTACTATTCAGCTCTAAGAAACAATGGTGATATAGCACACCTTATATTTTCCTGGTTAGAGCTGGAACCCATACTACTAAGTGAAGTATCCCAAGAATGGAAAAACAAGCACCAGATATATTCTCCAGCAAACTGGTATTAACTGAGTAGCACCTAAGTGGACACATAGGTGCTACAGTAATAGGGTATTGGGCAGGTGGGAGGGGGGAGGGGGGCGGGTATATACATACATAGTGAGTGAGATGTGCACCATCTGGGGGATGGTCATGATGGAGACTCAGACTTTTGGGGGGAGGGGGGGAAATGGGCATTTATTGAAACCTTAAAATCTGTACCCCCATAATATGCCAAAATAAAAAAAATAATTAAAAAAAAAAAAAAAAGAGTTTGGGGACTAAGAGAATGCCTGGAAATGGACCTTAAGGATAATGGCCAAGAAGGGTTGAATATAAGACTGATGAATAAAACCGTTGAATATAGTGATATGGGACATTACTCATGACTACACATTTAACACCTGCCAAAGAACCATAGAGCTGGCTCTAACATGTGGCTGAGGTGGCTGCTCAAAGCTTAGGTATGATTGTGGCCTATAGAAAATGCAATGGATATGCTAGAACTACCTTGCAGAGTATTGATAAAGGAGTCAAAAGTAGGTATGCTAGAAAAGATTTGTTATCTATGATCAGAGGACCTATCGGTTGATGTTCTACAGGTGGTCCTAGAGAACCTCACCTCTCCTCCTCACCAGCGTAGACCACATTCACTACCCTTCCCTCTTGGCATACCACTGTTTGTAGTGCATATTGAGAAGGATATTTTAAGCATCTGGCAGAAACCTGACATTGGTTGTATGACCTGTGTGGTAAGAGTCATAGTGATAGGAAAAGCCAAGTAGAGGCCTGTGAAACTGCCCCCACTCCAATCCAAAACAGCAAATCAGAGGCAACATAACACCCTGGGTGGTATGGCAGAAACTATGCTATCTTTAAAGACTTACATGGTGCTGGGGTGACAGAGCCCACCATCCCTCTATTAATTCACTAGGGAGGTCTCTTTAAAAACTATATGGATCTAACAATATTTGTACCCCCATAATATGATGAAAAAAAACTATATGGATCATGGTGTGTGTTGGTGGGCTACTGTAAACTTAAGACTAAGTATACCATGGAGAACTTCTCAGCCATAAAAAATGGTGAACTATCTCTTGTATTATCCTAGATGGAGCTGGAGCCCATTCTTCTAAGTGAAGTATCACAAGAGTGGAAAAACAAGCACCACATGTACTCACCATTAATTGGCACTACTCAATCAACACTTAAGTGCACATATGGAAGTAATATTCATCAGGTGTCAAGCAGGTAGCAAAGCGAGGAGGGGATGGGTAAATTCACACCTAAAGTGTGAAATGTGCACTGTCTGGGGAATGGGCACATTTGTAGCTCTGACTTGGGTGGTGCAAAAGCAATTTATGTAACCAAAGAGTTTGTACTCTTACAATATTCTGAAATAAAAAAAAAAGAAAGTGATATTCGCAATCACAGCTGCTATTCCAGATATGATGTCATTGCTAGAATAAATGATCCCTGCCTCTAGATCTTGATATTCAGCTCTTAAACTGGCAGATGCATTCTTTTTAGTCTGAATGAAAATATAAAGTTAGAAGCACATGGAACCAACAGCATTAAATAATGTTCATGCTCTCTGTTACAGTCTGAAGGGGACTTGACATGTGGACATTTTACAGAAGATAATGTTGGTCTGCTATATTGATGCCATCATTCTTTTTAGTGTATATTTTGACAAGTAAAAATTGTATATATTTATGGTATAATGCATGATGCTTTGATATATGTATACATTGTGCAATAGCTAAATCAAGCTATTTAACATATGCATTACCTCACATACTTATTTTTTTTGGTGAGAAACTTAAAATATACTCCTATCAATTTTCAAATATACAATATATTATTATTAGCTGTAGTCACCATGATGTGCAATAGATCTCTTAAAAGTATTCCTCCTTCCTAACTGAAATTTTGTGCCCTTTGACCAGCATCTCCCCAGTTCCCCCATTTCCTAGCCTCTGGTAACCAATAACTGACTCTCTGTTTCTTTGAGTTTGATGTTATTATATTCAACATATTAGTGAGATTATGCAGTGTTTGTCCTTCTGTGCCTGGCTTATTTCACTTAACATAATATGCCACATTTTCTTTATCCATTCATTTGTTGATGGACACTCAGGTTGATTCCATATCTTGGCTATTGTGAATAATGCTGTGATGAACATGGGGATGCAGGTGTCTCTTCAACATATTTATTTAATTATCTTTGGATATATGCCCAGTAGTGGGATTTCTGGATCACATGGCAATTCTATTTTTAACTTTTTAAGGAACCTCTATGCTTTTGTTCATAATAGCTGTACTAATTTACAATCTCATCAACAGTGTGCAGGGTTCCCTTTTCTTCACATCTTTGCAGTAGTTATCTTTTCACTTTTTGATAATAGCTATTTTAACAGGTGTGAGGTAACATATCGTTTTAATTTGCATTTTTCGATGGTTCGTGATATTGAGCATTTTTTCATATACCTGTTGGCCATTTGTATGTCTTCTTTTGAGAAATGTCTATTCAGGTCCTTTGCTCATTTTTTAATTGGGTTATTTGTTTTCTTACTATTGAGTTGTTTGAGTTCCTTATATACTTTGGATATTAACCCCTTCTCAGATGTGTGGCTTGGAAATATTTTCTCCCATTCTGCAGGTCATCTCTTTACTTTGTTGTTGTTTATTTTGCTTGTGCATGAGCTTTTTACTGTATGCAATCTTATTTGTTTATTTTTTGCTTTTTTTGCTTGTGCCTTTTGGCTTGTATCCAAAAAAAAAATCATTGCTCAGACCAATGTCATGGACATTTTCATCTGTTTTCTTCTAGTAGTTTTGCAGTTTCAGATCTTATATTTAAGTCTTTAATTCATTTTGAGTTGTTTTTTTATATGGTGTAAGATAAGAGTCTAATTGCATTCTTCTTCATATGGGTATCCAGTTCTCTCTTTAGGTAGGTGAATGGATAAGTAAATTGTGTTACATCCAGACAATGGAATATTATTCAGTGCTAAAAAGAATCAGGGTATAAAAAGAGGTTTTTATGGCTTGAGCTATCATGGAGGAAAGTTAAATGCATATTACTAAGTGAAAGAAGCCAATCTGAAAAGGCTACACATGTATGATTCCAACTATATAACATTCTTGAAAAGATGAAACTATGGAGACAGTAAAATGATCAGTAGTTTCCAGGGGTTAGGGAGATAGGAAGGATGGGAGGTGGAGCATAGAGGATTTTTAGAGCAATGAAAATACTCCGTATGATACTATAACTGTGGATACTTGTTGTTATACCTTTACAATACAAAGAGTAAACCCTAACGTAAAGTATGGACTGTAGGTGATAATGATATATCAATGTAGGTTTCCTTGATTGTTAACAAATGTTCTATTCTGGTAGGAGATATTGATAATGGGAAGGCTATACATATGCAGGGGCAATGGGACATCTTATACCTTCCTCTCAATTTTATTGTGAATTTAAAACTACACTTAAAAATAAATCTTAAAAAACCTTGTATTACAGGTTTGTTTATTTTATTTTTTTTTTTTTTGGTAAAACATTTTTGTTACAGACAAGGAGACTCAGAGAGATTAAATAACTTACTCTAGAATCACCCAGCTCCCAAGAGATGAGTCTGTGATTTTCAGATTATTGGGAGTCTTTGTGTGAATCCAGAAAATAACCCCTTCTTTTCCATTTGAGTTATTAATCAATCAATAAATAAGACAAATCAGACAGATGGAAGTCAAATCATCACTTTACTACTGATAACGTCTAGGTTGTAGGGCATGACTAGGGGTGAGAGCCCAAATGCTTTTCTAGCCAACTCCAGAAGTAGGCAGTGCAGAATTAAGGAGGGCTCCCAGGTGTGTGTGGGTGACTGCTTTGCCCTTGGGGTTGTGCAACTGAGCATACGCTCCCTGTAAGCAGGTTGATTCTTAATAAGAAACAGGGAGGATCTGGGCTGAGCATGCCCAGAATAATCAATTAGACATTCTGAGGCACAGCAAGGGTAAACTCAATTAGGACAGTTGTTATGTAATTGAACTTCTCTAC